AAGCAAGAACAGCTCTGCCCACTGCACTGTGATTATCACTGGCCACACAACTTTTCAACTCAACTACAGGACAGAAAAATGAACAGGCCCAGTCTTGGGAGTGGGGGAATCCACAGAAGAGCAGCTTGCTGGAGAAGTGGCTCCTGATTTGCCAGCACGAACTCAGGAGTCGCCCAGCAAGCCTCTCCTTCCTCCAGCGGACCCTGACTGGGCTCCTGTCTGCTCCTCACCTCTCAAATCTGGGAGGGAGACAAGATGCTGGCTCGCTCAGTCCCTCCAGCGGGGCTGCCACTCAGCTCCTCAGATGAGCCCAGAAAAGCACAGCTGCGCCAGACCCTCCACAGAACACAAAGGGCAGCAGAAAACACTAGGTTTCCTTCCTAAGGTTAACGCGGGAAAGACCGAGCTATGGCAGACTGATATACCTATTTAAAAACCAAAAATATTTGTAAAGTGACAAACCTATGGAAAATATTTGCATCTCCCATCACCAGAGGCTACTTACTAGTCTCCCAAGTATAAAAAATAAATGCCACAGACCAGACAGGAAAATGAACAATTGTAAACAGCTCACCCAAAAGGTAATTTAATAACTTTCCAACATATAAAATAGATGTTCAGACTCTTTCAATTAAAGACTACATTGACAGGTCATTTTTCTGTTAACACACTGGAAAAATACAAATGTTTGGTAACATCATTTGAGGAGGTAGTAGGGAAACAGAACATTTCATTCATTGCCAGTCAAAGGGAAATGGGTTAGAATCACTATGCAGAGCAATCTGGCAATTTGTATAAAATGATAAACGCCCAGTGACTCCACCTCCAGGGCTGACCCTCTAGACACAGCTACACACATGAACCAAGACGTACAGAAGGTTACCGAGGGCAGCTCTTGTGTTCTTGTGCTTTGCAGATGCTGTGCTGCTTACGAAGTCAAGGTCTGTGACAACCCTGAAACAGCACAGCTGTCGGCACCGTTCTACCAACAGCACTTGCTCGCTTCCTGTCTGTGTGTCACATGTGGGTAATTCTCTCAATATCTGCAATCTTTTCATTATAATATTTGTTACGATGACAAGTGACCTTTGATATTACTAACGCAAAAAGATTACAACTTGCTAAAGGCTCAGATGGTTGGCATTTTGTAAGCTAATAATGTATTTTTTAACTTTTTTTTATTGATTTATAATCATTTTACAATGTTGTGTCAAATTCCAATGTAGAGCACAATTTTTCAGTTATATATGAACATGTATATATTCACTGTCACATTCCTTTCTCTGTGAGCTACCATAAGATCTTGTGTATATTTCCCTGTGTGATACAGTATAATCTTGTTTATCTGTTCTACAATTTTGAAATCCCAGTCTATCTCTTCCCGCCCCCTGCCCTCTTGGCAACCACTAATAATGTATTTTTAATTGAGTTCTGTGCATTGTTTTTTTTAAGACATAATACTATTATTGCACACCTAATAGACTACAATTTAGTATAAACATAACTTACATGCACTGAGAAACCTAAAGATTCACGTGACTCAGTCTCCTGTGATAACTGCTCTACTGTGGTGTCCAGAACTGAGCCTGCAACAGTTCCGAGGTAGCAAGACTGAAAATGGCCCTAAAGCTCCATCAGAAGAGAACTGATAATATAAGCAGCAGAGCTTTGAAAAAGGAACAAAGAACTCTGTTTCCACAAAGAAACCTCCTGAAGACACACTGTTAAGTGAGGGAAAACCTGGAAGGACACTGTGTGGAAAGTCCCTATTTACAGTACAGGAAGGGGCAGAAGGCAAAGGGAAAGCGACTGTGCATGCATTTTCTATTTTATGGGCTAAAAAAAGAAACTCTAGAGGATCAAGACAGTAGTAGGAAGAGGGGGAGAGGGGAGCACACGAGAGACAGAAAACCTTTCCAGTACATATCTTCTTATGCCTTTTGTTACTGTATCTTAGGACAACACTAGCAACCGTACAAGGCGATTCTGGTTGCGGCCGCTGGGACTGCACCATTTAGAGTTTCTTGCTAAGACACAGAGTGCAGCTGACCCATGAAAGCAAGGGCCCCAGGCTCCAAACACAGTGCCCAGGGGACAGGAGGCCAGCTCTCCAGGGCTCACAGTGGGGACATCTCATGGCTTCCCACTGGCCAAACAGGAAGCACTGGCTGATGGGCAGGCCCTTAGCCCAAAGGCAGACATTCCCCTCAGGCTCTGCCAGGAAGGTGGTGATCTATGTGTTTGAAGACCATGAACTGTGGGTAAGATTTCACTTGTAAAACTAAGTCTGAAAGCCATATTAGCCAGATACCGATGAAAGAAAGAATCGAACTTTTTCCATCACTTCATTTACAGCCAAAGGTTTGAAATATACCTTCTCAGAGGAAACAAACTGCCTCAATTTCCCAACTCCCCCACTCATCTGCACCCGAGACTTCCCTCCCTGCCTGGGACCCATCTACCCCAACTCTGAGGAAGTTTGCTCTTTCCAGGCACCTGTCCTGCCACAGTTCCTTATGTTCCAGTCTCTCCCAGCTTCTAGTACCGCTGCCCTCACCGCCCTGCCCACACAGACTGGCCTGAGCCCGATGACGGGAACCACGCCCCCGGCTCCACAGCTCAGAGGGCGCACCTCTGTAACCACACGTAAGGTTGCTCTTTGGCACGTCAGGACACTTGTCAGCTGGTGCCCGAATTGTGCTTCCATTCTTGCCTCTCCACACTCCACACTCCCTTCTCTAGCAGCCACCTTCCCAAAGTCTCTGCCTCTGAGCTGGAGGAGACGGCACATGGTCGAGTGAACGAAACACCTGACGCCACAACCAGGAAGACCCCCAGGACCACAAGTGCATGTGGCAAAGGATGGATACGCCTCACACAGCTCTCCCTTTGCCCTTCGCTCTCTCTACAAGGGCCTTCGCAAAGTAACACAGCACTATCCAGGAAGGATGCTCTCGATTAAACTTGACTTGTCCATGGAGCCAAGCACAAGTTAGCAAGGAGTGTACTTTCCTCTAAAAAGCTTGCAAATACCTCAATAAAACAAGTCCTGGTGGGAAGGGTGCAGCTCAGTGGTGGAGCATGTGCTTAGCATGCACAAGGTCCTGGGTTCAATCCCTAGTAGGTCCATTAAAAAAACAAATGAACCTAATTACCTCCTCCCCCCCAAAAAATTCCCAGACAATAAATGAAACCAATCCTGCTAGGCAGAAAGGTCTCCTATAACATACAGGGAGCTCGGTGAATTCTGGGGAACAAATTCACCACCCGACAGCCCTGCCAATCATGTACCAGGTCTGGGGGACCAATTCTTCCACAGAGGCATGGACTTAAGGAAGCAAGATGTTCTCCACGGTGCCTACGAAACCATCCATTCAAACCACATACCCAGATCAAGACACTGCAGCCAAGCCATCGAGAGTATTTGAAATGTGTGTACTCCACAAACTGAACCTTACCTGCACATGACTCAGCTCCAAGCTGGCTGAGCAGGGTGGCGGGTAAGGGGCCTAGAGAACACTTACTGTGTGTGCCGTGCTGGAGGAGAGGGCTGCGTGTGCAGACGGGAGGCTGCTCTGATGGCTGGAGAGGGAGCTAGAAGACAAAACAGAGCACCATGTGTCCACCCCACCAAGTCACTCCATGCAGGGGGGCCCGGCTTCAGGCTTCACACCCTTCGTTCCCTATCACCTTGGAACCCAGTCCAGGTGTTCTGGTGGTTAGAAATTATCTAAGGGGTCACTCGCCATGAGGACCTGGGACATCTGGCCTGGGAAACCTACAGAGCCAGATTCAGGCTACTCTAGCCATGTGCTCTTGAGACTGTAAACAAGTACAGGATCACACTCCTAGCCTTGGAGACCCCCTTAAATCTGTGTGTGAGGCTTCTGAATAAAGTTCCTATGTGCAACCCCACATGCCAGAGTCAGACCTTGAATTCCCATCAAATCCAAAATTCAAACCATGTGGAGAGCTCTTAAGGACCAGCCATATCCCATTCTCCTGCGCCCTGTTCTGATAACTTGATCTCTGAAACCCTGACAAGTACAAGCCAGAGACCTGTCATCATTCTCAGTCCACGTCACAGGGACAAGGCCCAGACGTGGGGGGGAAACTAGGCTCGGGGCTCCCTCCTGAGCCTTCCTCCTTGAAGAACAGCAGAGGGCCCTTGGCCCCACCCATTCCCCAGGGGATCCAGTGCTCCATCACAGCAGAGACATTTCAGGCCCGCAAAGCTGTCACTCCAGGTGCTTCAGAGACCCCGCCTGGCCAAAAGTGACACTGGAGCATTACTGCAAAAGACCAGGAGGTCGTGCTGGGGGTGACAGTGGTTTTGTTGGTGGGAACACCCTTCTGTAAGGGCTCCAGGACTTCGCCCTGGTGAGCCTCCTACTCCAGGCCCCCATTTTCCCCATACCTGCTTAGCTGACAGAGGGGGCTGCTGGACAGGTCACCAGGCTGGGACAAGGAAGGCAGAGTGGCAGTGTGCTGGGACACAGGGGGCAGAAGTGGAGTGCAGGAGGTGGTGCTGGGCAGGGAGCCCACAGACGGGAGGGCAGAGGGCGGGTCTGCTGTCTTTGGAGCTGGAACGGATGAAGTAGCTGTAAAAAACACATCTGTTTAGCTCCAGAACCAACCTTGAGTATCTAAAATACGCTGACTGTTCTGTGACATGTCAGGCTTCACTGAGACAGATACAAAGTTACATTCCCCAGGGAAAATGCCCAAGCATGCCACCAAGATGGTCCCTTCTCTGTCTGATGTGACTATGGCAAGGACGGTCAGAACACAGAACTCCAGCCAAGAGTGGGAAATGACCTCTTTCCCAGAGAAAGAGGCTCTAGGATTGAGAAATATGGTTACAACATGCAGCACAACAGGGGAGAGTGACTCTCTGGTGGGTGAACCACTTGGGGGTTAGTTCTTTGCTATCAAAAGAGTATCAAATCAGGCTGACCTTGTGAAAGCTCAAAGTCAATCTAAGGCAGGAGGGGGCAGGCACAGAAAAGACTCAGTTTCAGTGCCATCCACACACACACAATTCAGATATGTGCTTGGAACCACAGCATCACTGTCTTTCCCAGTCAGGGGGGAGAAGCGCCTTTCCTGCAGGAAGCCCTGGGAGCCCAGGGGACACACGCTGCCTCTAAAAGGGAGGACGACTGGAAGGCAAACACAGGCAGCAAGAGGGCAACACTCGGTTTGGTCAGCTCAGAGTGAGCGCCTTCCTGACAGTCCTTCCCAGGTGACACCTGCTCCTCCAGAAACCAGACAGGCAAACAGGTGTCCTGGCCTCAAACTCAGACCCCAACACTCAGCTCCCTGGGTGTGGATCACACTGGTAACAGGTTCATGGAAAGCCTCTCAAAAAACCTGTGGGGGGCGGGGGCGGGGTATGGCCGGAGAAGAGAGCACAGGAGAGAAAACCCACCTGAATCGCACACTGCGTCTTACGGACATTTCGCATCTCAGTATCTTACTTAAAATCTCTGAATAACCTAGCACACCTCTGTGTGTTCTCAGCCCCACGCCTGGACAAAAGAACCTCCCTCTCAACCACGGCCTGTGAACTCCAACCTCCTGTGACAGCCAACGTTCTCAGAGCTATCAATGTATCTCCAAACAGTTCTGGTGGCCAAACAACACCAAATCCAACCCCGGGCAAGTCACATGCACCACTTCGATTCCAGCCGAGGCCCACTCCTGGTCTGGCAAATTCCACACCCATACTCCAAAAATTCCGAAATAAAAGGATCTTTCTGATTTCCATACCCTGTACAGATACCCATTTGCCTTATGGAATGATGGACAAAAATCACCATACACCGTCACAGACAAACTAGCCAAGAACAAAGGAAATGACTAACAGGGATTCGCCAGCGCTGTCTCCAGTGATCACTGAGCTGTACTAGACTGGGGAGTGGGGATCCCCTTCATTTTCTCCCAAGTATTTACAGTGAGCAACATTTTCCCTCTCTTCCTCACAAGGTCTTTCCTAAATTAGCACACCAAGTTTTGCTTTAAAAGTCTTTCACATTATTGGAGTGAGAGCCCTTTGACCATCTTGGAACAGGGGCCTCTGAGCAAAAGCTTAATTAGTACCACACTCCACACCGGGGGTGCAGTCTGACTTGGGGAGAATAACACAAGACAATTACCTCCTTTTCACTGTGGCTATGACATTTCTAATAACACCATCAGCTACAAGTCGGTCACATGGGAATCTCTACTTGAAACTCTAAACCCAAAGAAATGATGCCAACGATGGATCAGAGATAGCTATCAGAGAAACCGTGAAAGGACTGTTTCTGCAGAATCAGCCACTGGCCAACTGTTTTCCCCATCACATCAGCTGTGCTCTTTTTCTCTTTGGTTTCCACCAGCCACAACAGTTAGCTTATATACTTACTGTCTATTGTCTGCTGACTTCGACTACCATGTCCATTCTGTAAGAAAGATGAAAAGAAAATGAGCAAACCCACAGAAATCAAATGACAACCTAGATGACTTTCCTTTAGGATTCAGCCACAAACACATGAAGTACAGATTAATCAAAGAACTGTGGCTTGTTTTATTTTGTTTCTTAATAAAAGGAGAGGCAATACAACAAATTCTTAATAAATCCCAAAGAGCTGACATCTCTGAAAACCAAACTGGGTATTCAAGGAACTAGTACAGATACAATGTAAGACTCAAATCGCAGGAAGCAATGAAACAGTCCCCAAAATTAAGCCGCAGGAAGAATCTGGGACCGTCTTTCTATTCAAATCACAAGCCTTTCTATGTCATGCGACTCCTTTCTCCCGAAACCACTCACACAAGAAAGAAAATATTTCCAAATTATAACAAAGATAACTGTCGTACAAGGAAAGTATCATATTTCATATTATTAATAAATTGTTTCTCAGAGAAAAAGATGATACTTTGAAACATGTTTTTTTCTGAACTGGGCGGGGAAACAGTATGTTAGGACAGGGTGGTAGTCCCGAAAAGAACAGAATCTACACAGAACTGGCTTAACTGCAGAGCATCTCACTGGCACCTACACACAGGAGGAGGCATCCCCACAAGACCAGCTTCCCTTCCGCAGACTCATGGGGGAGGCCCTACCCGGAGAGGTCGGCTGCGGGGCCTGCAGGGCTTGGACACCAGCCCTGGACGGGGGAAGGAAGCTAAGGAGACGACCTTCCTACAAATGGCAAAACTACTAAAGAAAAAGACAGACTTAGAGCTGTTGCCTCTGCCTTAACCTAGGTCCCATACAATTTCTGCTCATAAAATTTTACTTACATTTTTTTTCTTAAAACAATGTGAGATTATTTATAAGAAATGTAGGCAATAAAACAGAGCTGCCAGAGGAAAAATGTGAAACAAAACATGGGTTAAAATAAAAGACTTAAGTCAGGAGAACAGAAACACCAATATATGAAGACAGACGGAGAGCTACTGAAGTTCCACTCTGCCTCCCTCAGTGAGGTTCACTCCTCAGTAAGTACGTGCACATGACAGCAAGCACGTGCATCCTCAACAGCACAGTCTCCCCACAACTACACCAGATAAAACGGGTGGAAAAGGGTAACAGGAAATGGCTGCCATCATACCTTAGGATTATATTCCATTCCACCTTGAAAAACATTTTTAAAACACGAACAATGGACAAACTGTCACAACAAAGGAGCCACATTAGTTGGGGTGGGGGAAATTCTAGGCAGAAACATGGTGGGAACAAACGTAAAGTATCAAATGACCAAGAGATCAGAAATCTGCAGGGGTTTTATTTTGATTAGCTGAGCAAGCAATGAGGTCAACAGTGATATGGACAAACGGAACAGGAAGGCGGAGAGGAACGAGAGAGCCGGTACCGAGATGCCGCGGAGATGGCGGAGGGCTGAGCCTGGGTGGCACATGGTCTGATTCGTATTTTAGAAACTACAGACCAGCACCGTCCCAGGGAACGCCAGGCTCTGCAGTACCGGGAACAGTCCCCACGTGCGTGGTCCTACACCACGGCGACTCCCCACATATAGACACTGAGCGTTCACAGTGTGTGTGTCTGAGAAACTCAGCTTTTAAATAAACCACTACATGTGGCCAGTGGTTACCACACTGGAAATCACAAGAATAAGTTTCTTGATAAAGACAGGTCAAGAATACATGACTTTTTAAAAATATGTAAACCCAGAAAGACTAATAAAGGTGCAGAACGACAGCAACAAAATTTTGTACAGCAAAGTACAGCAGATGCAGGATGGCACCTGACGCAGCTCAGTGGGTGTGGAGCAGGGGACAGGTGTAGGAGAAGTTTCTAAACCCTGCACAGCAGGGTGAACACCCCCTTCCACCTTCTCCCACAAGCTCTAAATTTCATCAACAGGGTAACACATGGCCTGGGGTACTGCAGGGATAAAAGGAAAAAAAAGATGGATCACATCAATGCAGACAAAACGAATATTCTGATGGCAGCCTTCTCTTCCTGCTGGGCTCTTAAGACACTGACAGACAGACACAGGCCCTGAAGGGAGGAGACTAGGAGAACCGTCCCCGGGGAATCCAAACAAACTCAATAGAAGAGGCCCACGGGGGTTGACGAAGGAGCCCCCCCAGCCCCAAAGACGTGGCCGCCCACAGCGCCCCACACCTCAGCCCAGTCACCAACCTACCCCCACAAACACTTAACCTTCTTATGTCAAGTAGGCAGATTGCAATCACCAGACATTGGAGGAAAACATCTAATACAAAAGATGGAAAAGGAAGGGAGAAAAAACAAAAGAAAATGTACCCCAATTTCTGCTATGCCAACTTAATTGTTTTTATTATTTTCATGTTCTCATCCACTCTTTAACCCTCACTGGTAATGCTTAAATGTCTGCCTTACAGGAGGTAAAATATCACAGATAAGACCGTGTTCCCCTCCTGCCCCATCCAAACCACTCTGAGCAACTCGGGGTGTACCCGACACTATCCTTCCACCACGTGTCTGGGCCCACCCACACACCCCTCTCGCCTGGCTGCTTGAAACGCAGGTTGCCAGCGAGATGGCCATTACCGGCAAATTTAACAAACTCTACAGATCCTACTCAAAAGGTCAGCCAATTTCTAAAGGGAAATCTCAGCCAAAAAGCGTAATTTCCCAAACCGCACACTGAGCTCCCAGCAGGATTACCTACGAGGAGAAACCTGAAAGACCACTTGCCGGGGCGGTTCCTGGAGCCGACTGCGACGGGCTCACAGAGCTCCGGTACGCGGGCCTGCTGTGCGCAGAGCTCTGGTCGTAGGAGGGGGACGCTGTTGCCGGGCCGGCGGGGCTCAGAGACGAGCTGGTCGGGCTGGAGGAGGTGAGGGCTGATGCTGTGCAGGTGGGGCTCTGTGCTGCACTGGTCATTGGGAGAGAGGTATTCAAAGAATCACTACAGAGAATAAAAGACATCAGACAGATTTGTGTCACTTTTACAGGGTTTCATGAAGTAGAATTACGTCCTCACTTAATTGTCACATTGTAAAGTAAATAAACAAGTCTGTAACTACAGATTTATACTGCTGTGTTACTTAAATGACATAAATGAAGTTCAAAAAAACTGGCCCTCCTGCTCTTCCCAAATTAAACCCACCTAATTTAATTGATAGGCAGGGGACATCTTTAATAATCCTTAAGAATCTTTAAGGAATCCAGACGTCTGAGACCATCCTTAAAAAGAGAACTCAAGCAAACACCAGGTTTTGGCTCTAGAAGTCAAAACTTTAATAAAACCCAAATCTGGGATTCTCTATTCATAAAATATTCTACTGAAGGAAAATAAGTGTTAGCCAAGATGTATAGAAACTGCATCCCTAATAATTATCGGTAGGAATGTAAAATGCTGCAGCCACTGTGGCAGAGTTTGACAGTTCTTCAAGTGCTTAAATACGAGAGTTAACATATGACCTAGCAATTTCTAGGTATATATCTAAAAGAAACAAGAGCACACAAAATCTGTAACTGAATGTTCACAGTGGCATGATTCATAATAGCCAGAAAGTGGAAGCAACCCAAACGTCCATCAGCTAATGAATGGATAAACAAATGTGGGAGGGGTATCTGTACAAT